CCCCTCTTACATCTTCTTGGGCAGCAACGTCGTGGAGATGACATGCTGTCACCTGCCACATCTTGAGCTACTGAGGATCTGGTTTTGCTCTGGGGTTGAAGGGAGCAGTGTCCCTCTGTGGAAGCTTCCAGGCCACCCAGCCCCTGACTGTCACTCCTCTGCTGTCCTCCGTCAGGCTCTTCTTTGACAACTGCCTCCCCAGGCCTCAGCTCAGCCCCTGCCACCACTCAGCCTTTTAAGACCCCCTTTCCTAGACCCTCCCACTCCCCCACCACCAAAGAATAAAGATGTTCTGGCTGCCCATCCCACACACAGGCAAGCAGAACCCATCTTAAAGAAAGCCCCAAGCTAATCTCTTCCAGAGTGCACTTCATTTTTAGGGCACAATAAAAAAAATACCATTATCCGTAGAGGGCCGCATGTGGATGGCGTCCTGTCATCGCCCCCTCCCCCTCCCGAGAGTCAGTCAGGGAACAAACAGATGTGGTAGGAACCTGAGCTCGGGGCAAGCAGGACACTGGTAGTTTCAGATCTCATGGGAGACGAGAGAAGCGATGGTCATGGCCTAGGAGTTTCTCTGCTATGGTTGGTAGACCAGTAAGCCATGGAGGCTGTGGCCTTTCACTTGAGAGCAGGTGGCTATTCTCGGTCTAACAAGCCTTGCTCCTCCCTGATGGATCAGCGGGTGCTGATGGTGCCCATCGGTGGCCCTGGCCACCGTAAGAGCATATGGAGCCATGCCCACCCCCAAGCTCTCTCTGAACAGGAAGCCCCACAGCTCTCGCCTACTCAACACCTCGTAAGAGCACTTAACCCTTGGCCCATGTAGCCAGGTAGCTCTGCCACTCTCTGGGGGCCTGAGCCAGCCTCACCCAAAAAGCCCGGTAGGATTATTTGGACCAGCTGGAGCCTCTCAGTGGGTGTGTGGGCATGCGCACAACAGGTGGGGTGTGGGGGGGTCTGTGTGTCACTCTGTGACTGTGAGTCCAGGACAGCCAGCCCCCTCACCCCCCCCCCACGTGTGGTCCCCAAATGCTAGCAGGTGATAACTCTCTCACACCCAAACTACAACAGAGAGAAGAATGGAGAGGCAGAGAGGCAGCTAGTGAGTTTTTGTTAGCTGGGAACTTTCTCTACTCAAAGTGAAAGGCTCATTCCTGGATGGACAGACGGCGCTTTAGGAGGACAGCTGCGGGAGTCAGTCTTTCCTTGGCAAACACGCTCCATCTGCTCCATGCCAGCTCCTGAGTGCTTGGCAGAGCAGGTCAGGAAGGCCTGGGGCTGACGGACTGGATTTGTGGGCAGACTGAAGACTCGATGGATTGGACGGATGGATAGGAATCAGGGAGCTAGGGGAGGGGCCTGCTGCCACACTCCTGCACAGGAACCCTGACAGTTGTCTTGGGTTTGTGGCTGGAGACAGGTGTAGGGCAGGGAAGAGACAGATGGCCCCCAATTTCTCAACCCTAAGCTCCCCCGAAGCTGGGCAGACCCCACTCTCCCTCATGCCATTGTCACAAGGCTGGGTGTGTTCGGTTCTCCCTCCCCCCCTCACTACCTCATGGCCCCCGAGGGTCCCACACCTGTCAGGGGGTGTGAGGCGGCCCTGGCCCTGCCATTTCAGTATTTCCAAGGCTACAAGGGTGATTGGGACAGCGTAAGGGCTTTGGGACAAGACACACCCAGGTTGGAATACCATGTAGAACTAGTGTGACCAACCCTGTTACATAGATAATCTTGAGCTCAATTTTCCTGTCTATAAAATGGGGATAGTCAAAGGACCCATGTCACAGGGCTAGCGGGAAAACGAGACAGCTGAGACCCCCGCCAACACACAGCACTTGGCTACGGTGCCAGTGGGGTCCCAGCCACTCTCCACGTGCCTCACACAGCCTTCAGCCTCCTCTCCACATAGTCCTGCTTGCTTCTTCCCGGCCTCCTGACCAGGCAGCAACCAGAATCTGCCCCTTTGGATACAGGGTCTCAGCGCCCAGGCCGACCTTGTATTCACTGTGCAGCTGAGAACCTTAAATTCCTTCCCCTCCTGCATCCATTTCCTCCATGCTAGGATTACAGGTGTGCACCACCGACGCCTGGCTGACATCCATCCTTTCTATCCAAGTGCTCAGAAACCCTGTCATGCACACAGGGTCCCTATCCAAAACACTGCTCCTCGTCAGTCCTCCAGTCTCTCCCCACCTCATGCCTCAGGTTCCCAAGCCTCACAGCCAGTCTCCTCAGCATCCAGGGGGCGCCTGCTCCTGGCTTCTCTCACCCATGTACTGAGCTGTGCTGGAGAAAGGCCTGGACTCTGAGTCCTAGCACCAACCAGACATCCTGTCCCAGCTGTGAGACCTTGGGCAGGTTGCTCCACCTCTCTGGGCCTTCAAATTATGAGAACCATAAACCTTGTAAATACCTGAAGGAGCTGTCTGGGAACTCTGGTTTGAACACCAACTATGTGTCACACAACTGCTTAGGGCCCGCCTCTCCCCCATGTGGAACATCCCTTGTTCCCATTCTACACATGACAGGCTGGCAAGGTGGTTCAGTGGGTAAAGTAGCTTGCCTTCAAACCCGACAACCTCAGTTCAATGTCCAGACCAGTTTGATGTCCACATCGGTCCCTAGAACCCACAGTGAAAAGAGAGATCCAACTCTCTAAAGTTGCCCTCTGACCTCCACTCAGGAGCCAACACACACGCACACCACACACACACACACATAACAATAAATAAAGCTGTAAACCCGCTCTGCAGAGGGCTACACTGAGCATCAGGGTGTATGTGAGCAGGTCCGACTGAGGCAGCAGGCAGGGCTTCCAGCTCCACCCCTATGAGCTCCTAGAAGGAGGAGACACAGGAGCATGTTGTGTCTCGTGAGGCGCTACTCAGGAGGTGCTGTCCCTGAAGACAAAGGCAGCAGGGACTGACCGCTGCCCCTGTCACCTGGGAAGCCCACTGCAAGTTATTTTCTCAGCCTCTTCCTCTCCATGCTCTGGGCATAAGCTAGGCAACCTCCTCTCCTGCAGGAGGTCCTGGGCACGAGGTTCAGTTCAGGACTGTGTCCCCAAGAACCATCGCCACAGGACCTTTTCTAGCTTGAGCAGAACTATGGGGAGAGACCACACAGCTCTCTGTGCATCACCCATGTGTGGTTCAGGTGAGGATCCAAAAAAAGATGGTGACTTTTCCAGAGTCGCTCATGGCAAGGGGAGTTTCCCTGTGTTTCAGGAAATGGAGGCATGGCGGGGAAGGGGGAGATGGCAGGAGTTAGAGTAAGCTTGCCTCTTAAAGCGCCATTCTGAGAAAGCCCCTTGTCCCTCCAGCCCGCTCCTACCTTACAGACCAGTTTTTGCCAGTATCCCGTCCCCAAATCAGTTACGAAGAGGATGGTCAAGTTATGTTGTGGAAAAATACACCATTATGATTTCTTAGGGAATTAAATATGAGAGCTGCAGAAGACAGCTCAGTGGGCAAAGTGCTTGCTTTGGAAGTGTGAAACCTATGTTGGAATCCCATAACTCATATAATACTGTGTGTGGTAGCACACGTCTAAGTCCAACAGAGACAGGGGAGTCCCTGGGAGCTGGCATGCATAGCACCAATAGTCTCAAGCAAGATGGGAGGTGACATTGGACACCTGTGGTTGTCCTCTGACTTCTATATGCATGCACACGCGCATGCGCGCGCACACACACACACACACACGCACGCACACACATGCACGCACACGCACGCACGCACACACGCATGCACACAAACACACACATGCGCACGCACACACACAAACACACGCGCGCGCGCACACACACAAAGATTTTTAAAATATTAATCGCGAATTACCACATGACCTAATAACTCCATGTGGAGAAGCATACCTCAAAGAAATACCTCAGAGAAGTCAAAGCAGAGACCTTTGAAGCTGTACCCATGGTCACAGAGCACTGCCCATAATCACTGTCCACTGGTGAATGAAATGACAAATGAATGAGGTACATCCATACAGTGGAACATCAATCGGCCTTGAAAAGAAAAGGAGTTTGAACACATGACACATGGATGGACTCAGATGCTTTCTGAACGAAACAAGCCATACACAGAGGGACAAGCGCTGTAGAGGGACCTTGTGTGGTCAGGTTCATAAGGAAAGAAAGTAACATGGGGACTTCGGGGAGCTGGGTGTGGCAGAAAGGGACGTTTACAATACAAGGATTTTGTTGAACCGTGCACTTAATAACGGGCCATGGTGAACCCTGAACTAGCCATGTGTTATCACAGCAGAGATTAACTGACAGTGGGCATGGTATATGCCTGTAATCCCATTCCCCAGGGTCCACGGCTAGTCTCTGCTACGTAGCAAGTTTGAGGCCAGCCTGGGCAACATGAGAGTCTCAAAAAGCCAAAATTAAAAATGAGATGAAAACCTGGTAGATTAAAAATCTACCAGTCTCTGAAGCCCACTAATTTCTCAGGACTACTAGTTGTCCCTATGGTCCTGTTTAGCAAAAGGGAAGAGACAGGTCGCCCACCCTAACCTAGACTAGCCCCAATTACCAGCTGCCACTCAGCTCACAAGGGCCCCAGCTCCCCAAAGACCTCGTTGGATTCCAGGTGTCCCATCACCCAAAATCTACACACATGAGCCTCTTGAGAGCCACTTAGTCTCCGCTGGCAACCCGGCATCCTATACTTCTCCAAGAGGTACCAGCCTGGAGCAGGGTCCAGGCTGCCCTGACTCAGGCCTCTCTGCCTCGCTCCTGGGGCCATGTTTATTTTCTCAGCGTGTCCACGGCCTGGTTTCCGCCTTGCCCACAGGAGGGAATGCTTTCAAGAAACTCGAGGGTTATTAATGTGGTTTCTTTTGTTGTATGCCATTGCAAAGGCAGGGAACAAGGGTTTATTTTCCTAACGTGCTTGGCATAGCTTAGCATTTGCTTCCAGAGCAACCCGAGACCCTGGTTTGTTCTGAGTCACTAGCAAAGCCGCAGCCTACAAAGCCAGTTCTCGGGGGAGCAAGAGCTTGGAACATCATTGGCAGACATGGCTGAGTCTACCAGCGGCTTTTAAAAAAACACAAGGATTTTAGTCTGTTGTTTGGTTGGCTGGTTGATCTGGCTTGGTTTTTTAATTGGCAGGATGTAAACAGGAGTTCTCACTCATCTGTTCCCCAATAACCTGTATTTCTCTGTTAGTGGGCATCTCGGCTCTGAAGAAGCCACAGGAAGGCTGGCTTTCAAGAGTGCCTGTGCCTTGGAGGTGCCAAGGGCTCAGAGCTGGAGAGTTAACAGCACAGCCCATGGCCCATGTGTGCTGCCCTGAGGGTAAGTCCTGGCACCCCAAGGTCTGTCTGCTCTCCTCCTTCCCCCCTCCCTTCCTGTGCTGGAGATGGAACCAAGGCCTTGTGCACACTGAGCCTCCACAAGCCTCCTCCAATTGGTACTCTCTTTCCACTGGTTCCAGCAATTCCAGCTCGTCTCACCAGGAGATGGAAAGGGTGGGTCCCTCCTCCCAATCTTTGGAGGCCTTGGGACTGTGAAACCAATCCATGGCCGTGGGAAGGGACAATTAACCAAAGGCACAATCAGGAAGTTGCTTCAGCCTCCTCCCTCTGCCTTCTCTCTGTACTCTCCAACCCAGAGGGAAGCTTGGCCTGGGACCACTGAGCCACTACAGCCCCAGGAGCAAAAGCGGGATGCAGTTTCCAAAGCAAGGAGCAGGGGCTGGGTGATGTCTTGGACCTGGCCTTGGGTCTCCTACCTGACTCCACATCTGGCATGTCCTGGGTCCTCAGACACTCCCTCGTGCAAGAAGCTGCACCCCAGGAAAAGTCTGGAAGTTCTCTTGGGGTTTCACGATGCCAGTGGCCAGTCCCGAGGCTACAGGGGACACCCACTACCCACCCAGCTTCCTAGAGGCTGCCAATGGCACCATCTGGGCACTCACGCCCCAGCTGATACTTGCCGACTGGGATTCCCCCAGGGAGAGAAGGTCCATTTGGGGACACTGCAACCCTTTAGTACAGCTTCCCATGCTGTGGTGACCCTCCCAACTGCTAAATTATTTCTGTTGCTACTTCATAAACTCTAATTTTGCTACTGTTATGAATTGTAAATATTTTTGGAGATAGAGGTTTGACAAAGGGGGCGAGACCCACAGATTGAGAACCTCTACTGTAGGCTCCTTGACAAAGAAACCGAAGCTTGTACTGTGTGTACCCTACCAGGGCCACACCTCGGCCCTCCTTACATCTTAGTGCCTGTGTCCCCCTTTGTCTCCCTCTGTCTGTCTCTTCCTTCTGCCCCATCACCTGGATCGTATTCTCCCCTCTGTCATGCCCCAGAGTCTCAGTCACCAAGGTGAAACCAGAGAACACGGAGCATGCCACACCTCACTTTACCTCTGGCGGGAACTGGCCCCCTTCTCTCTACTTTTCCATCAAGGATCTAAGAGCTGACTCCCGGGGCTGTCAACTCACTCATCATTCATCACCCAACACTAGAGGGAGGAGAGCAGCCAGGCTCCTGCCAGAGGTGGGCGGTGGCCTCCCCGGGGCTGGCTACCATGCACAGCAGCAGTGGATGCTCCAGGGCTCGCCTGCTCACAACCTTGGTTTCAGACAGTGCCACTGTCGCCTTGGCTCCGTCTGAAAGCAGAGGCTCCCAGCCTGCCTGAGTACCCCTCTGACCCCGAGCCTAGTACCGGAAGTGAGTGCTTAGGGAGGGGGGGGGGGTGGGGGATAACAACTCCTTTGTCACCTCTCCACACACTGTTTGGGGATCCAGACAGTCAGGTGTCTCTGCACATCCAGCAGGATAGTGAAGTCCCAGAGCTACTAGCCCCAGACACCCCAACACCTAAGTGATTTTGGTGACTCTGGCCATCCCCTGCCCTGCCCCTCACTGAAACTGTCCAGATTGGGGCTTTTGAGTCATTCCAATCCTTCACTCCCAGCCTCCCCTTCCCCAAGTCTATCCCCACATCTTTATTTCCCACCAACTTTTCCCTCTTTTTAGAAAAGCTGAGCTGAGGATGCTATAACCCTGTGTGATTGTGTGTGTGTGTGTGTGTGTGTGTGTGTGTGTGGTGGGGGTGCTATTTGGGTAGATTGTTTTTAAAGCCCCTTCCAGATGACCTTTAACCTTTGCTGGGGGTGGGGGTGGGGGTGGGGATAGGCCTAGCTGGCTATACTCCTCTGAGAGCTCCTCCGCCCCAAACCGAAGGGTGTGGTTGTGCAGGCATGCCCATTCCACAAACCCTAAGACCTGCTGCCTTAGCTCTAAGGGGCTGAACCAAGTTTGACTTAATGGCTTGTCCCTTCCACAACCTCAGTTTCCCCAACAGCAACAGCTTCTGAGAGTAGATGGGTTTGGGATGCAACGGCAGTCAGCTTTCCAAAGCCACGAGACTGTAAGTGGACCTGGTTCAATGAGGGTCTCCTCCTTTTGAGACAACAGCAGCTCACCCCTGGGCAGTTCATTTTGGGACTGTGGCTCCCGCTGTGCACAGCCCACAGCCGGGATCCCGCAGCTCAGGGATCCTGTAAGCCAGGGGTCTCTGTAGCTAGGCTGTCGCAGCTGGGTGTGGGGTTCCCAGTATCCGCGGGTCCCACAGCCATAGAATCACCAGATGAAGATTCCTCAGCCTAGAAGTCCCAGAAACTGGATCCCGTAGCCAGTGAGTCCCACAGCCCGACTTTCTCCGCCCTCCCGGGAGTCCCTCAGCCCGGGGATCCCGCAACCGGTTTCTCAGCAAAACGATCCCGGTAAACCCTAGTCCGGCAGCCCAAGTCCCGCCGCCCCGGCCCGGTTCCCACGCCGCACACTCACCGTCCTGCGGCGCCGCCTCGCTGCCGCTGCTGCCCCCGGACGGCTCGCGCGCCGTTCCCTCCCGCGCCTCGGGCCCGGCCACCGGCCCCGCAGCCCTGCGCCCGGCCGCCGCCACCTCCTCCAGGTCCAGGAGGTGGCTCACGGAGAAGTTCTTGCGCGCCTGGGCGCAGTCTCCGGGTGCGGGTTGGGGCCCCGGGCCGGGCGCCGGCGGGTCCAGGGCAAAGGCGGCGGCCGCGCTGTCCATGCCCCGGCCGCGCCTCTGCCGGCCGCCGCCGCCTCCTGCTGCTCGCCGCGCCGGCGCTCAAGTCCGTCGGTTGGGGACGCGAACTCTCTGCCCTCCCCTACGGGCGGGCCGCTCGCTAGGCAGCGGCCCGGGCCACACGCCCCTTCTCGGGGCGGACCTCGCCCCCAGCTCCCCTCCCTGCGTCCTGCGCCGTCCGGCGGGAGGCGGAGCCAGGACGGGGTCCTCGGACTCCCAGACATAGTTTAGGGTGTCCAAGTCCCGCGAGGGGTGTCTCTTTAAATCCCCCAACCAAGGTCCCCAGAGGTGATCGGTGGGAAATCCGTCTCTGTGTGTTGCATATTGGGGGGCACTCTTAGAAAGTTGACGGATCCCCTCCCCTCCAGTCCACTTTAGACAGGGTCGCATATATTCCAGATTAGCCTTAAATATGCTATGTAGCCAAGAACGGGCTTGAACGCTTCCCAGCTTCTCCCTCATTGTCCCCACCCTAATGGAAAGAATCAGAGGTTTTCGAGGACCACCCTGTTCCCTCCACGCTGAAGGGAAAGTTCTGGGACGGAGGCCAACGCCATTTCTCTCTTCTCCCAGTGGGTGACACTTGTGCGCCGGTCCCCAGCGTTCCTTCCCTGTGAGGAAAACAAAGCTGGGAGGGGCGACCTTCCCTTGTAGGGTGCATAAGGGAGAGGCTCAGTAAGGGTGACAGATGAGAGGTTGGGGTGGGGGATAAGGGAGCAGACGAAGTCTATCTTTGAACTTATTCGAGAAAACCCAGAAAAATGGCACTGGGTGAGAAGAATGGAAACTCTCGGTGTTCCAGATGCGCCAAGTCCTACCCCGACTGTCCTGCCCTTCCGTACTTTTACCACCACCAGAGAGGCATGAAATCATAGCATCAAAGGGAACCCCACCAGGAGGTCTGGAGGCAGGGGGTGGGGACGTCAGGAAACCCTCCGGAGACCCACCCTGAAGGACACCATAGAACTGACCCACCCACGTGGCACCCCGGGTCTCTGCCCACGGATTCAGGGAGAATGTTTGCAAAGGGTCTGAGAGATGATCTCCATGATAGACGAGGGAGGGGAAGCGGGAGGGCTAGGGCTCCTTCCAGAGCTTGGGAGAACCATTGAAATTACTCTGTTCAAGATGCTGTGGGACAGACCCAGAGCCTAGATGTGCCATGTTAGGGTCTGGAGGGACGCTGTGGCTACAGTGGCATTCTTCGCCTGTTCGCATGGTCCCCATTCTGAGCATGGGCAGCAGCGATGGCGGACATCAGCCCTCAGTGATGGTGCTCTGGCTGCAGCCTCCGTGTTCAATTGGAGGCCGTGCTTCGGCCCTGAGTAAGCAGCTTAGCACCTAGTTTCCTCGAGTGCCAAATCTGAGTGGAGAAGTGGAAACGAGGGCTGGGGGAGAGGCTCAGTGGGTGAGAATGCTTGCTGTGCAAGCGTGATGATTCGAAACCTGAGTCAAGACCAGATTACAGCAGCACCTGCAATCCCAGGCCTCCTACCGCAGGACAGGAGGCAGGGAACTAGAGAAAGATGGCTCGGTAGTTAGCAGTGCTTACTGCTCTTCAGGAGATTTATGTCGGCAGCTAACAACTATTTGTACTTGTAGTTCCAGGGGGATTCAACTCCAGCTCTCCACAGGCACCAGCACACATGCACAAACCCACACAAGACACACACAACTTAAAACATGAAATAACTTTTTAAAAAAGATTAAAAGAAATAAAAAGACGGAAAGTGGAGTTGGGAGAATCCCGGAAGCTCTTCGGCCAGCTAGCCTAGCGTGTGTTGCTGAAGGGAGGCCGTGCCGTACATAAGGAGGAGGCAAAACTCCACCATCATTGTCCTGTGATCCGTGCATGGTGGCATGCGAATGCCCACACACACGTACACACGTGCGTGCACACATACACAATATACACACATCGACCAATTTTAACACTCAGTTGGGGGAGCTGGAGAGATGGCTTAGCCATTCAGAGCACTTCCCACTCTCGCTGAGGACCCAGGTTCAGTCCCCAGCATCCACATGGAGGCTCACAGTTCCAGGTGTTCAATGCCTCTTCTCACTCCAGATGCACGTACATACACTCAGGCACACATACAATGTAAAATTAAATGGTTTTAAAAATAAATAAATTAAAAAATAAGTTAATACATGCGTGACACCTGGCACCTAAGAAGCAGTAAGAGTTAATGGTATTTACATTAATAGTTAGAGCCCAGCTCCTGACCTGCCTTCCTCGCTGGGTACTTATCCTCACCCTTGTCCTCCTGAGCAGGCCTTTGGGCTCCGGCTCCAGTGTTGGGTGCAGACCTGGTGTGGCCTCCAAAGTGACTGAACAATGCAGGACAGTGGCCGCCTGGTGCCTTTACATTATCTTGGCTATGGCTATGCAGCCCTGGTTGCTACTGTAGGATTATTGGCTATGCAAAAGCAGGTAGTGTGCCATCGCTGGCTGCTGGACTCTTCATCAGGAGGCTAGCAGACCTTGGTGCTCACCAGCTGCCTCAGGATCCCGGGAATGTGTGGGTTTTCCTAGATGCATCCTAGACTTGGCTGGTGTCGTGGGGATGAGATTCAGCAGCTCCGGGAAATTTGTGCCTGCAGGTTTAATCCCAGGTGCCAGTTTGCTAATGGTTGCCAAGCGTGGAAATTAGTGTGTTGAGTTGTCCCCAGCCATAGTAGCCACACTTAGGTTCATGAAGAATTGGAATTCTCCAAACTTCCACATTTACACTGTCCGAAGAAAAAGTGCAGTGTGTTCACATATTCTGACATTTTACAAACGTACAGTGAGCTTTTATTGTTGTAACTATTCAGGGGTGGTGAGTGTCTAACCTGAGAGCAGGTGTTGTCTTCACGCAGTTTCGCTCTTGTATGATGACGTCTCTCCCTTCTGTACTTGTAGACAATGGGTAAAATGTTAGGTGTCAAAACTGGGGGTCCCAGAGCCTCCTCACGCCCTGCCGAGAAGTATGTGAAATCTCTTGGTGACATTTGCAACGTGGGATCTTCAGCA